CTTGTGTCTGTCGGGACTGAGTTTGTAATGTGGGCCCAGAGGACACAGAAGAGGCCAAATCTTCCCTGGGAGCCAGGACTGCAAAGATGCACCCGGCCTTGAAAGCTGGGCAACACGACCCCACCTTTCCCACCCTTGGAAGAATAACACTGCCCACCTGTCCTCCCAGCTGTTGTGCAGGCTAACCTAGAGGACATTCTAGGTTGTTCCTTTCGTTAGTTAACCAGCAAGGCCTATAAATGTACCTCCAAGCCCATCCGAATTCCACGTTCTTGTACCTCCACTACCATCACCTGGTCCTCACCGGGCTTCTCCCTTCACAGCCTCAGGTTCCCCCAGCAGCTGCTCGGCCCCTCCATCAGGTCTCAAGCCGGAGCCCGCCTTCCAACCTGGCTTTTGCTTCTCACAGCCCTTAACACTCCCACCACCACCACCACCACGCTGGAATCCGTTAGCATCTGTCCCTCTCAACGGGATGAAGGCCCAGTGAGAGCAAGGAGCTGGGCCTGTTGACAGCCACGAGTGCAGTGTGCAGGACTGACTGCACCCGGACTACTGCCTAGCAACCGAGGTAGATGAAGTGTTGCTGTGGCCAGAACTGGCAAGTTCTACTAGCGAAACAGAGAACTAAACATAAAAAGGCATATGCCAGACTAAGCCAACCTGTACCAGGAAAGCAAAGGACTGACATCAGGAGCTGCAAGTAGGGCTACGAGTACGTACGTAGCCCTTTAGTAAGTGTAGTCTTAGTACAGCTATGTACTCTAGGGCACCAAGCGACAAGTCTCGGCCACAGAGGGAAGACTGAAGCTCCTACACGCGCCAGGTTCCCACCACACATGACTTCCGGCTGGCGCATGCGCACGGCCGCCGCCCCGTGGCGCATGCGCACGAGCGCTAACGCCTCCATCCCAGACGTGCGGCCGCGGAGGTTTCCTCGCTACCGTCCCCGGCCCTGCGCAGAGACATGCGCATAAGCGCGCGCTCCGCCCACCCCGGACGTGCCAGCCTACACGCAGACGCGTGCGCAGCACTCCCTAGCGCCCGCCTTCGCTGCACGTAGGCTGGTCCGGGCCCCGGGTTCGTGAGCTCCTCCCGCGCCCGGAGCCCCGCGGGGCGCGCGGAGGTGTGGTCTCCTGGCCCTGGCTGAGGCTGCGTGACTCAGCATCCCCGGAGCGGCTCTCGGAAAATCCGTCGGCGCGCCCCGCTCCCGCCCTCCTGCGGACTCCTTCACCGGGGCCCAGGGCAGACCCCTTCCCTGGGCTGCCAGACCCGCGACTGGCGGCCTTTCTAAATGCCCGTGCCTCGGTTTCCCTGTCTTCAGATCGTCTCTTGTTGGGGGCTGTGCGCACCACAGGCTGCAGTGAGTGGGACACGGGGCTCTCCCTGCACGTCGTAACTGGCCTGCCTGTCGGGTGTGCCCAGATCTGCTCCTCACCCAGCCTCCACCGTCTCGCGGCAGCACCTGACGTTTCCAGGAGCTCCAGGATTTTCCGAGTTGGTTCCCGGTGTAGCGCTTCCAGGATCCCAGGCAGACTGAGCCCGGTACCCAGCCGTTTGCCAGCTGACAGGTGTCATGGGTTTAACATTTGTTCAGAGCGTAAAATAACACTGAACTCCCAAAGATTCCACTGCACTGACACCACCCCTACACTGGTGCCTGACCATGCCCTGCCTTTTTTTTTTTTTTTTTTTTTGGGGGGGGGGTGGTTTTCTTACTCTTGGCCTTCACAGGTCACTGGATCCAGGCCAACAGGACCAGTGTTGGTGCTCTAAGTTTTGGGATTTTCCTGCCTCTGCAGTTGCACACCCTGCTGTCCTTTCCCTTGGCCATTTCCACGTATAAGGTGTTTTTTGTTTTTTGAAGATTTATTTTATTTACTTGAAAGTCAGAGTTGCTGAGACAGAGTGAGATCTTCTATCCACTGCTTCACTCCCCAAATGGCCACACAGGCCAGGGCTGGGCCAGGCTAAAGCCGGGAGCCTGGAACTCCATCTCACATGGAAGCCAAATACTTGGGCTGCTTTTGTCAGCAGCGAACACCACAGAGCTGGATGAGAAGTGGAGCAGCTGGTACTCGAACTGGCACTCAATGGATGCTGGCATTGCAGGCACTGCGCCACAGCACTGGCCCCATGCGCGTGTAAAATTCCTCCCTGTTAATCAGGATTATTGTAGGGGTCTTCAGAACCTTAGTAGGGGAGTCCTACTATGAAAGCACCATGTGGGGTCCCATCTGCAGTATTGGTTCAAGTCCTGGCTGCTCCACTCCTGATCCAGTTCCCTGCTAATGGCCTGGGAAAGCAGTGGAGGATGGCCCAAGTGATTGGGCCCCTGCACCCACGTGGGAGACCAAGAAGCTCCTGAGGAGTTAACCAGTGTGTCTCTCCCTCTCTTTGTAACACTGCCTTTCAAATAAATAAGCAAAATCTTTTTAAAAAATTGCATGGATTTCAAAATTCTTCAGCAAAAAGTATTGTGTCTTTTAATATCACTTTCCGAGCTTTTTGAAGTCTGCTGTATCATAGAGGCTTCACTGGTACTGCACTAGAATGAGGCTGATGAGGGGAAGGGGCCTGCCTGCTCTGCCACTGTCCCTGCACCTGTGTGCCAAGGCTGCCAGCAAGTGGCGTGAACAGGGCTCAGGCAGGAGTCAGGCGACCTTGGGCCGATTCTCTGCTTCCCAACAGACTGCCCTTCTCAACTCTCCTACCCTGTGTTAAATGGGGAGGACAGCTGGAGGCCCCTCTCGGGTGCCGAGACGGTGGGAGAGGATCCGCCGGGAGCTCCACACGGAGACCCCCTGGCCAGGGCGGTTTCCCTGTTCCTTGTCTCACCGTGAGTGGCTTCCCGCTCCTGGTGCTCCGCCTTTGTTCTCTGTCTGGTGCTTTCCTGAGCTGCTAGGACTTCTCACCCTTCAGATCCGAACTTGAGTTTCTCACTGAGAAGGAGAAGCGAGGTAACTTTTGGAATTTCGAAGTAAGGAGGTGAGACCTAAAATAGTGCGGGGAGATCTGCAGCTGCTGGGAATTGTAGACGCCAAACTGCTGGAGGTGTGCGGGGAAATGTCAAAGGACAAAGCCTTTGAAGTGGCAGCCATCTTGGGCTTCCCCTCTTTCTCCCCCTGTGGGTTGGGAGGGTGGGAAAGGACCCTGGAGGAGACAGGGTGGCAGCTGGCAGGTGAGCACCGGCGCGATCGGTGGCAAGACTCAGGAGTTACAAGCAGTAACTCAAAACGACTCAAACTCTAAGGGAAATCATTGGTTTACATCGGCTGCAGGCAGCCTGACCCCAGGAACACTGGCCCTGTGCAGGCCGCTGTGGCGTCTCTGGGGGGGTCATTCTCTCTCTCTCTCTCCTCAGCCGCAGGTCTGTCCTTTGGGACGGACGGCGTAGCACCCTCAGCAAAGCAGAGATTTCTGGCTGCAGGGTCTCAGGAGATGGCTGATTGGCTGTGCTCATCCGTGATGCAATCAGGGAGGTGGGATGGAACACAAGGGCGGGAGGTAGTGTTTCTGGACAAAGGTGATTGACTGTCATCACAAAGAAACTACTAGGAAAAGGGAGTTCGTGGCTACCGTTGGCAGAGAGGCCTCTGCGGAACACCAGGTAGGTGGCTCACGGCACAGTGGCTGGGAGACAGGACTTCCCATTGGTTCAGGCAGTGTTCAGAAGCACAGGCCCTGGTGTGGACCGGAAACCCAGGCGGGAGAGAGTCCCAGGGAACCCCAGCAGAACAGCTTCTGTTCAGCGCGGTCGGGCTGTGCTGGGCTGGACACTCAGTCCAGGTTGAGTTCGCAGTTGGCCCCGAACGCCTCTGGGTGAAGAAGGGTCCTGTGGACAAGGACACCGCCGACTGCCCTGACCGAAGCCCCCTTTCCCTCTGGCCTGTGAGATCCTGGCAGCCGCGCGCCCAGGCGTCTGACTCTGTCTACCGTGTAAGGTGACGTCGGTCCTCTGCTTCCTGCCTCTCTCAGGGCAGAAGTGAAGTCCTCCCAGTGACTCAGGAGGCCCCGTGTTCCTCCCCTGCCCTCTCTGACCTCATCTCTTGGCACTTTCTCTCCACCCCAGGCTTCTCCCATTTCTGGAACATCTGCACATGCTCATGATTTGTTTGTTCTAAAAACATTCATGTATTTGAACGGCAGAGTGACAGAAGGGCAAAGACAGAGACACCTTCCTTCTGCTGGTTCACTCCCCAGATGACGGCTACAGCTGTGGCCGGGCCTGGCCAAACCCAGGACCAGGAACTCCACCCAGGTCTCCCATGTCGGTGCAGGGGCCCAAGCACTTGGGCCATCCTCTGCTGCTTTCCCAGGGGCATTAGCAGGGAACTGGGTCGGAAGTAGAACAGCCAAGACTGGAAACAGCAATCCCATATGGGAGGCCAATCCGATATGGGAGGCAGCTTGGCCTGCTGGGCCACAGGAATTTTGTGTCTCAGGAATTTCGCAGTTGCTGAACTTTACCCCTGGAGAGCCAGTCGGCTGGCTCCCTGACCCGCAGGCTTTTGCACAAATGTCATCTCCCCGGTGCAGTTTTGTTCTCCACCATTCTATTTAAAATCACAACCCCTGCTTCCAGCACCCTCTCCAGCTGTCTTTTCCTCGACAGCACTTGCCAGCACTTAGTTATTTGGCTCTTTTGTGCCCAAAGCACCTGGAATAGTACCTGTAAGGTGGAAAGCGTTCAGTAAGAGTGCCAACGAATGAATGAATGAATGAATGAATGACGCAGCAGACCGGGGTGTGGAGTGCTCGGTCCCTGCTCCCCTCCCTCCTGGGCAGCGGCCAGGAGAGCGGCGGCGCAAGTGGCCGCCCGGGGCCAGGGAGCGACCAGCTGCAGAGCGGCGGCGGCGGGGAGCAAGGTCGCCCCGCGGGGGCGCGGGCGGGGGCGCGGGGCGGGGCGGGCCCGTGCGGGGCGGGGCCGGCGCCTGCGCCATAAAGGCCGCCGCGCGCCCCCGGCCCCGCTCGCCGCGCGCCGTCCCGCCGCTCCTTCCGCCGCGGCGCACGTCCCGGTCCGTGCACCCTGCTGGCCGCGCCATGGCCGCGCTCACCCGCAACCCGCAGTTCCAGAAGCTGCAGCAATGGCACCGCGAGCACGGCTCCGAGCTCAACCTGCGGCACCTTTTCGATACCGACAAGGAGCGCTTCAACCACTTCAGGTGCGCGGGGCCGGGGTGAGGGCCCGGGTCAGGACCGCGCTTTGTCCTTGGCGTCTCCTTGGAGTGGGTTCCCGGGGGCCCGCGGGCTCACCCGAGGTCTGGGGTGGGGGCTGCTTAAATCCCGGGGAGTAGCGGACGCCTCCGTCCCCTCCCCGCCGCCGCAAGGCCCCGCCTGACGCAGCGGGCAGGAAGGAGCTGCTCCTTCTACCTGCCCCTGGCCGCGGTGGGCGGCAGGGTGGGGCAGCCCGGGGGAGTCCCGGGGGCAGGACGGGTGGAGGTGGGAAGGGGCTTTGGAGGAAGTCGTGGGCTTATGGAGGGGGGTGCCTCCTAGAGGGCTCTGAGCAGTGACCATAGAGCGTGGGGAGGTGGGTCCGCGAACCCTCCTTGGGGTCGTGGCTTGTCTCCAGTGGCCAGCCGTGCCGTCAGGATGGGTGTCCGAGTAAGCCGAGGCCCAGAGGGCAAGCTCTGGGCAGGGGTTGTCACGGTCCGGGTTCAACAGGGGCAGCTGCACCAGCCCCCTGTCTCCCCAGGCCCCAACGTCTAGGTTCTGTGAGGATGGCCCCTTCCACTGTGCGGCTGCCGCCGCAGGTCAGCCTGGGGGGTGGGCAGGAGAGGGACAGCACCCGCCCCCCCCCCCCGCGCCCCCGTGCTGGGTGGCTGAGGTTCCCTGGGGCGTGGTACGCAGAGGATGTGTGTGCTGGAGGCAGCTCGCCTGGCTTCTGTGGTCAGGGGGCCAGGCAGGCAGCAGAGACCTGGGTGTGGTCAGTAGCTCTCCGTTTCTGCAGCTTGACGCTCAACACCAACCATGGCCATATTCTGTTGGATTACTCCAAGAACCTGGTGACGGAGGAGGTGATGCACATGCTGCTGGACCTGGTAATGCCCTGTCTGGGGAGGCTTGACCTTGACCTGTGACCCCGGTGGGGTGGGCGAGCTGGGTGCCTGGGAGCCCCCAGATCCTTGAGCATCTTGAGTTCCTCTCCCAAAGGACCTCGGGGCTCTGAGCACCTGCCCCTGGCTCAGGTTCTGAGTGGCATCCCTGGAGACCCCAGGGTCTGGTGTCTGCGTGGACCCCTTCCCAGACACCAGAGAGGGAGCCCAGGCTGTAGCCTTCTGCAGCCCCGCTTGGGGACAGCACTAAACCTTGGGGGGGGGGGCCTTGAACTTGAGCTCATGGTGGGCGGTGTGGGTGGGACCAGACCTCAGTGTCTTCTCTTCCTAGGCCAAGTCCAGGGGTGTGGAGGCCGCGCGGGAGTCCATGTTCAATGGTGAGAAGATCAACAGCACGGAGGTGAGCCTGGTGGCCTCCAGACTCCGCCTACCCCCTGGGGCCTCTTCCTTCCTCTTGGCATTGATCCTTGTCTTCATTCTCTTAGGCAACACCGGGGCTTGCCAAGGGGCCTGAGGACCTGTTTCCTCGGGGGCTGGTTGTAGGGCCTTGCGGAGTGTCTTCCCCAACACCAGAGTTTGCAAAGGCTCCCAGTGCCTGCCCCAGGGGGCACTCAGCGGGGAGGGTCTCTCATGGCCTCTGAGTCCTTGCTGCAAGTCCTCTGAGTGCTAAGAGGAGTCTCAGGTCACCAGAGGGAAGCAGCTGGAGTCGGGTCAGAAGCGGTGCCCAGGCCCAGCCACGGGGGCCCTGTGCTGACTTCTGGGGAAGCCTGGAGCTGTCGTCAACGCTGTAGGCCGCCACGGCGCCCACCACCATTTACCACGAGGACTCAGGCTTAGCGGCCAAGTTGCGTGTCTAAGACCTCATGGCACAGCCAGGATTCAAACCCAGCCCGCCTCGCACTGCTAGGCTAGGCTGAGGAGAGCTGTGGGGCAGGCAGGGTCGGGGTGTGGGTAGCGTGGAGCCTTCCACCCTGGTCATCCTCTCACTGGGCTGGAATCCCAGCACAATCCCTTCCTGCCCACCTGGGACCATTGGTCAGTTTCCCTCAGGGACACCTAGGCTGGCTTCCGCTGCGAGGGGCTGTTGCACTCAGATGACCAGGCCAGCTGCCTGGTGCCCGTGGCATGGCAGGTCTGGGTTGGGCGAGGAGCTTGAGTTGCCTGCTCTGCCCCACGCCGCTTGCCAGGCGGTGCCAGCAGACAGCACACACTGTCATCGGGAGGATGGGGTCCCTTTGGGCTCAGCAGGCCCTGGTCCTCGGGAGGCATTTATCGCCATCCCTGACGTGTGTCGTTGTTACTCCGTTCCTCCTGCCTCCGACTGTCCGTGCCCAGGAGCCCTTCCTGCGCATGCTCGGGTTCCGTCTGTAGCGCGGGGAGCAGAGGCACTGCCTCCCCTTCCCCAGAGTGTGTATACTGGGGGGAGGGGAGTGTTGCTCCCACCCCTTAAGCAGCCAGTGGGTTCCTGTGGCTAGGGGCGGGGCTGTGGGGGGCTTCACTCCCTGACTCTGTCCCCAGGACCGGGCAGTCCTGCATGTGGCCCTGCGGAACCGCTCCAACACACCCATTGTGGTGGACGGCAAGGACGTGATGCCGGAAGTCAACAAGGTTCTGGACAAGATGAAGGCCTTCTGCCAGGTCAGCGCCTGCCGGGCTAGACTTGCCCTTGGTGTGCGTGTGCTGCGTGTGTGTGTCTGCATGTGTGCACACCCGTGTGTGTGTTGGGAATCTGAGAAGCCCTCACTGGGGGGCCAGGCCCCTCTTTCCGCTTGCCACAGAAGCAGTGCTCAGCCTTCCCTGCACCTGAAGTGTGGTGGCCTATGTGATGGCTGACCCTGGGGTTTCTGCTGAGCCCTGAGTTTCCCCTGGCCCTGCTCTGAGGGACTCACCCCCTGGCAGGAGTGAATTACAGAAGCCACAGGCTCAGGTGACAGCTGACCAGCAGCAGTGGCCTAAAATGAAAAATAACTCCCTGAGAGATGGGACAGTGGGGAAGAGAGACTTGGGCTTGCTTTCTTTTCTTTTCTTTTCTTTTCTTTTCTTTCCTTTCCTTTTCTTTTCTTTCCTTTCCTTTCCTTTCCTTTCCTTTCCTTTCCTTTCCTTTCCTTTCCTTTCCTTTCCTTTCCTTTCCTTTCCTTTCCTTTCCTTTCCTTTCCTTTCCTTTTCTTTTCTTTTCTTTCTTTCATTCTTTCTTTTTTTTTGAGACTTATTGTATTTGAAAGGTAGAGTTATAGAGAGAGAGAGACAGAGAAATCTTCCATTTGCTGGTTTACTCCTTAATTGGCTGCAACAGCTGGGGCTGGGTTAGCTTAAATCCAGGAGCCAGAAGCTGCATCCAGGTCTCCCACGTGGGTGCAGGGACCCAAGCACTTGGGCCATCCTCCACTGCTTTCTCTGGTGCGTTAGCAGGGAGCTGGATAGGAAGTGGAGCAGCCGGGACTGGAACCAGCACTCCAGTGTAGGAGATCAGCATCAGAGGCAGTGCCACTACGCCGTCCCTAAGAGACCTGAATTTTCTAACCTCTTTACGATGAAATAAATGTTAAAAATTCTTTCACTTCACCTGCAGTTAATCCTCCAGAGACCTTTATAAAGTTGTCTGACAGCCTGCCCAGGAGGTGTGAGTGTGTGTGTGTGTGTGTGAGACTGTATTCCTGTGCATCCGTCATCTCTGCTGTGAGACAGACATACGGACAAGTTTGTTTTCCACCTGCTCTTTTGCGGCTTGTTTCCACTTAGAAATAAGTACGAGATGTCCATGTGTTGGTCAGTGCACCTAAGGATGCCTCCTCCTCTTCTTGTGTGTGACCCTCAGAGGCAGCTCAGTTTTGCCCAGCAGCTACTGATGCCTCCGGGTCTGTCCCGAGGGTGATCTGCAGAGGTGGCAGGTGTCCTGGCCTGGCGTGCTCGGGCGGTATCCGGGGCCTGTGTGTGCGTCTGAGCATCTGTCCGTGTGCTCTGCGAGAGACTGGTGAGCTGTGGTCATTCTCTGCTCACTCCCTGCCCCCTGCCATGGGGCATGTGCAAGTCTGATTCCTCTGGCCTAGGGCCATTTCCAGACCTGAATTACAGAGAGGCAGAGGCAGAGAGAGAGAGAGAGGTCTTCCATCCACTGGTTCATTCCCCAGATGGCCGCAACAGCCAGAGCTGCCCCAATCCGAAGCCAGGAGCCAGGAGCTTCTTCCAGGTCTCCCACATGGGTACAGGGTCCCAAGGACTTGGGCCATCTTCTATTGCTTTCCCAGGCCATAGCATAGAGCTGGATCAGAAGTGGAGCAGCCGAGACTCAAACCGGTGCCATGTAGGATGCCGGCCCTGCAGGCGGCGGCTTTACCCGCTATGCCACAGCATCAGCATCTATCTGCTGCTTCACTACTCAGATGTCCACAAAGGCCAGGGCTAGGCCAGGCCAAAGCCAGGAGCCAGGAGCTTTATCTAGGTCTCCCACGTGGGTGCAAAGATCCCAACACTTGGGCCATCCTCTGCTGTTTTTCCAGGCACATTAGCAGGGAGCTGAATCAGAAGTGGAGCATCCAAGACTTGAACCAGCGCCCACATGGGATGCTGGCTTTGGAGGAGCAGCTTACTCGCTATGCCACAGTACCGACCTTAAGGAGGAGGAGATCCCAAGGGTCTGGTAGCCACATAAGTGAGACTTCCTGGGATGAGGAAGGCTTGGGATCCTTCGGGAACTTGGGTTCAAGGATGTCCCTTATGGTAGTTGGTCTGTGTGACTTTGGCTGTGGCTTTTGGTTTGGGGAAGAGTATTTCCAGCCGTCTGCTCTGAGTGGCAGAGCTGACATGCCTGCAAAGCCTGGTGCTCTGTGATTGACCTGGGTGAGTTCCGAGCAGCATGTGCAGGGTGGAGAGTCCTCCCTTAACACTGGCTCCCAGAGTCCCTGACTCAGACGGACGTGGGGTATTTGTCACTGAAAATTTGCTGCCTAACAGCAGTGAGTCCATGGTGAGGCGCTCTCCCCATGGCTCTCACAAGTGCACCAGGGTGGGGGGAAGCTGTCCCTTCATCATGATCGTGACAGCCGTGGCAAAACCCAAAAATAAATTGTTATGTTGAAAGTGGCTGCTGGTGAGGATTCTGGGTGTTCCCGGCACAAAGAAATGAGAAGTGTTTGGGATGACAGGTGGGCCAGTTGCCCTGAGACGTACGTCCCTGCATGGAATTAGCGCGGTGCGGCCCTACATTTCAATGCACGTTCAGCAGAAGGCTTCTCGGTAGTGAGTGTGAACCAGGCACTAGGGCGCTGTTTGTTGTGGGCCTGCCGCGCGGTGCAGGGTGTGCTCCAACTGAAAAAAGGAAGTTGCGGAATCGGTGTGTGTCACATGGCGTGTGTTTGGTTAAATTAAAGATACATGTGTTTTCCTATCTGGGAGGAGTTATTAGGACACACCCTTGATGGGGAGGTTAGGGACTGTGTCGTTTATGGAGAAAACAACAGTTGCTAGATCTTGCTGGTTCTGGGAAAGATGAGGTTTGCAGTAGATGTGTAGGAAGTCAAGATTTTTTTTTTTGACAGGCAGAGTGGACAGTGAGAGAGAGAGACAGAAAGAAAGGTCTTCCTTTGCCGTTGGTTCACCCTCCAATGGCGCCGCAGCCGGCGCGCTGTGGCTGGCGCACCGCGCTGATCCGATGGCAGGAGCCAGGTGCTTCTCCTGGTCTCCCATGGGGTGCAGGGCCCAAGCACTTGGGCCATCCTCCACTGCACTCCCGGGCCATAGCAGAGAGCTGGCCTGGAAGAGGGGCAACCGGGACAGAATCTGGCGCCCCGACCGGGACTAGAACCCGGTGTGCCAGTGCCACTAGGCGGAGGATTAGCCTAGTGAGCCGCAGCGCCGACCAGGAAGTCAAGATTGATTGATTTGAGAGGCAGAGTTACAGATGGAGGGAGAGGGGAGAGGGCAGAGGGAGCTGGGCTGATCTGAAGCCAGGAGCTTCTTCCAGGTCTCCCAAATGGGTGCAGGGGCCCAAGCAGTTGGGCCATCTTTGGCTGCTTTCCCAGGCCATTAGCAGGGAGCTGGTTCAGAAGTGGAGCAGCTAGGTCTCGAACCAGTACCCCTATGGGATGCCAGTGCCGCAGGCAGAGGCTTTACCTACACCACGGCGCTGGCAACCTGCATTTCCTATAGTACGGCTTAGGGATGGTCCCTTTTAATGTGAAGAGGTGTGAACGAGAGACAGTTACCTAACCCTCAAACATCCAGCAGAGGGTGGTGAGATAGAGAGGGTACTGAGACAGGGCAACAGTGGGGAGATGAAGGCACACAAGAACCACTGATTCGTAGCATCTCTGAAGTCTGGCAAAGCACATGTTGGCAGTTGATTGGTTAGGACTCACGGCCTGGGAGAAGTTCCTCCAGGGTCTCGGCTTGGCCCTCCCTCATCCTTTTTCCCTGAAAGGTGGCCTGTGTGTGCATCTGCTTGGTTTCTCAGCTCAGTGCCTGTAGAGATGTGGCTGACTGAAGACCCCTTCTCCTGTGCGTTGTCTCTGACAATTCGGTTGTTTTGAAGGCTCCATGTCTCCTGGGAAGCTCATTGCAGAGGCCCTGGTCCCATTAGGCAGAAGCAGGACGAGAAGCTGTCCACCTTGTCTTCTGAGGTCAACTTAGAGGCACCTTCTGTGTCACCTGGTCTCTCTGTGTTGCGGCTGAACCTCTTCCTGCAGTCCTGGGGCGGTCGGCGCCTATGCTTTTGGCTTCATTGCCATAATGTGCTTTTGCAACCGTGCCCTGCATCTGAACTTGGCCAAGGAGCTCTTTATTTTAGCATTGATTGTTTCCTGGAAAAGCCAGGAATTATTTTCAGACCCAGCAATTCCCAGCTCCAGTTTGCCAAAAGTTATTTATTTAGCTTATTACATTTACTTTAAGCACCAAGAAGCCAGATGTTTCTTCAACACAGCCTGAATTGTTCTAAAAGATTTATTTAGGGGCTGGTGCTGGGGCGTGGTAGGTTAAGCCTCTGCCTGCGGCGCTGGCATCCCATATGGATGCTGGTTTGAGTCTCAGCTGCTCCACTTCTGATCCAGCTTCCTGCTGGTGACCTGGGAAAGCACTGGGGGATGACTCAAGTGCTTGGGGCCCTGCACCCACCTGCGAGACCTGGAAGGGGCTCCTGGCTCCTGGCTTTGGCTTGGCTCAGCTCTGGCTCAGCTGGATTGGGAGTGGAGCAGCCCAGGCTCAAGCTGGCGTCCATGTGGGATGCTGGTGCCTGGCCCCATGAGCCACATCTTAATAGGTATATCCTTTACTTTCCATGGGAACGGAGCAGACAGCATTAAACTTTCTGCCACTACATAGTAAGGATTCTTTCCCCCAGTTTCCAGTAATGCTTTCCTTCTTTTATTAAAATCCACTTTTTATTTAAAATTCACTTCTCAAGGTCTTTGTCTTTCCCTGTGTTCTTTAGATTTTTGACTAACTCCTCAGCTTTACCCCACGTTTAGGTTTTTATTATGATACACCTGACTTCCGGTACCAAAACCTGCATGCATTATCCCCCGTTACTTGCCGAATCACACCAAAGCTTGGCTTAGAGCAGCAGTAAATGTAATCTGACTCGGAAGCTCCGGAGCAGCCTCCCTGGTTGGTCTGGCTTTGGGGTCTGTTGAGGTTGTAGTCAAGAAGCCGACCAGGGCCGCAGTCTCTGAAGGCTCGGGGTGCGGGCGGCTGTCTGTCGAGGTAGTTTGCACGTCTGCATGGTGACCTGCCCTAGCTGCCGGTGCAGGCCTCTGTCCTTCATCTCATGGGGCCTCCTCATAGGACTCGGAGTCCTCAAAGCATGGGCGTGAAGCAGGAGGGCAAGGCCGGGCCTCGAGCCCTCCCACGACCCAGCCTCTGTCATTTTTGCAGCAGCCCGGCTCAGCACAAAGGCTACAGGGCTGTGAATAGCAGGACCCTCTGGGGTCCACTCAGAGGTTGGCTGTCACTCCTGGCGCCAGCCCACCTGTCCACAGCAGTTGGCATTTCCCCTCTCTTGGTCCCTGCCATGATAGTTTCTGCTGAAAACTCACTTTAAAAAAAAAAAAAAGATTGTATTTATTTACTCGAGAGGCAAAGTTACAGACAGAGAGGTCTTCCATCCATTGGTTCACTCTCTAAATGGCCGCGGTGGCCGGAGCTGGGCCGATCTGAAGCCAAAAGCCAGGAGCTTCTTCTGGGTCTCCAGCAGGGGCGCAGGAGCCCAAGCACTTGGGCTGTCTTCTACTGCTTTCCCAGGTACATCAGCATGGAGCTGGAAGTGGAGCATCTGGGATGCTATGCCACCGGCAGACACTTCAACCTGCAGGGCTACAGTGCTGGCCCCAGAAACTGACTCTTGTCTGTACATTCTGATGATGTTACTGTGTGTGTGTGCACGTCTATGTGTGTGTGCGTGCGCGTGTGGATCATCACCCCGCTTTTCTTTCTCTTTAAATGTTTGTTTGTTTGGAAGACATAGAGAAGGGCAGGCATTGTGGTACGGTGGGTTATGCCACCACTTGGGATCCCACATGGGAGTGCTTGGTTTGACTCAGCCACTCTGCTTCTCATCCAGCTCCTTGCTAATGTGCCTGGGAGGCAGCAGATAATGGCGCAAGTGCTTGGGTCGCTGCTACCAATGTGGGAGACTGATGACTCCTGGCTTCAGCTTAGCCCAGCTCTAGCTGTTCTGGGTATCTGGGGAGTAAACCAGTGGATAGACGATCTTTTTGTCTGCCTGTCTGTTTCTCTGTCACTCTATCTTTCAGATAAATAGATCTTTTAAATGTAAACAGCATTCTTTTTTCAAAAAAAATGTGTTTATTTGAAAGGCAGAGTTCTCACAGAGGGAGACTGATCTTCTGTCAGCTGATTGGCTCTCCAGCTGGCTACAAGGGCCAGAACTGGGCCAGGCGGAAGCCAGGAGCCTGGAACCGGCTCTCCCATGTGGGTGGCAGGGGCAGAGGTACTGGGTCGTCCTCTCTTGCTTTCTCAGTTGCGTTAGCAGGGAGCTGGATTAGAAGTGAAACAGCCAGGACTCGAACTGGCACTCACTGAGATGCCGGCTCCTGCTGTGCCACGACACCAGGCACCATAAATTAATCCTAAAAAAGAGAGAGACAGTGACAGAGAGGGACCTAAGTACGTAAGCCATCACCTGCTGCCTCCCAGGGTGCACATCAGTGGGAAGCTAGACTAGGAGGCTGAGCCAAGGCGAACCCAGGCACTCTGATAGGAGATGGGCGTCCCAAATGCTGTCTTTTTTGTTTTTAAAGTTTTTTTATTTATTTGAGAGGCAGAGTTACAGACAGAAATGTCTTTCATCCGCTGGTTCACTCCCCAAGTGGCTGCAATGGCTGGAACTGGGCTGATCCGAAGCCAGAAGCCAGGGGCTTCCTCCCACGTGGGTGCAGGGGCCCAAGCACTTGGGCTACTTTCCACTGCTTTCCCAGGTGCATCAGCAGGGAGCTGGGTCAGAAGTGAAGCAGCCAGGACTTGAGCCAGTGCCCATATGGAATGCTGGTGCTGTAGGCAGAGGCTTAACTTAGCACAGGGCCGGCCCTGGAATGGTGCCTTAGCTACTGTGCCGAATGCCTGGCCTGGCACTGCCCTCTTCTAGGGAGGAAGTGGTGCCTAGTTGGTGAGCGTGGCAGGGAACACTCTGCCACTGTGGCCCTGAGGCTCCTGCAGGAGTCCGGGAGCTGTGACGGAGGTGTGAGGACGTGGAGTAAGGATGTTTTTCTTTCTGCACCATCCAGCGGGTCCGCAGTGGCGACTGGAAGGGGTACACGGGCAAGACCATCACGGACGTCATCAACATTGGCATCGGTGGCTCCGACCTGGTGAGTGGAGGGCCGCCTTGGGGTGGAGGAGGGGCTGGGTGCCCTCGAATCTTGCTCTTACACTGCGTCTCCCTGCAGGGACCCCTCATGGTGACCGAAGCTCTGAAGCCATACTCGTCGGGAGGCCCCCGCGTCTGGTTTGTCTCCAACATCGATGGGACCCACATTGCCAAAACGCTGGCCTGCCTGAACCCCGAGTCGTCCCTGTTCATCATCGCCTCCAAGGTACAGCCTTGGGGCAGCCTGGCTCCCCCAGCCCTGTGTGTGCTGAGGGGCCAGGAATGGGGGGACTCTGGTCCCCGGGTGTAGCCTGGCTCCTCCTGGCTCCCCCGGTCCTGTGTGTGTTGAGGGGCTAGGGAGGGGGGGACTCTGGTATGGGCCCCCGGGCACAGCCTGGCTCCCCCAGCCCTGTGTTTATTGAGGGGCTAGGAAGGGCGGGGGACTCTGGTATGGGCCCTCGGGCACAGCCTGGCTCCCCCGGCCCTGTGTGTGTTGAGAGGCTAGGAAGTGGGGGGGATTCTGGTATGGGCCCCCGGGCACAGCCTGGCTCCCCCGGCCCTGTGTGTGTTGGGGCCGTGGTGGGGACGACTGCCATTGGCTTAGACGTTGGCCATCCTGCTCACTGCTAAGCGGACCATGCTTTGTGGATCAGGTCAGCGTGGCGGCCCTCAGCCGGTCCCCTTAGGTGGCAGCAGGCACAGACCTGAAGGAAGCCCTGAGTGGTCAGTGTGATCCTTTTCTTCAGGCCACGCCTGTTCACTGTGTGGGGCCACTGCTGGGCCTGGAGCTGTTCTCCACTTTCTCCCCTGTCCCTTGCATTGGCGCCTGCTGTGCCCAGAGCCAGCCCCTGATAATAGAGGAGTTTTGTTTGCTGTCATTTAACGCCCTGTTTACTCACATTAGTGGATATCAATTCATCTGAGTCCTGAAACAAGTCCTGGCCAGCAGGCCAGGCCCTGGACTTTTACTTTAAAAGGCAGAATTAAGAGAGAGAGAGACAGAGCTTCCATCTGCTGGTTCACTCCCTAAATGGCCACAGTGGCTGTGGCTGGGCCAGGCTGAAGCCAGGAGCCTAGAACTCCACGTGGGTCTCCTCTGTGTGTGGCAGAGGCCGAAGCACTTGGATCATCTGCTGCTGCCTTTGCAGGCACATGAGCAGGGAGCTGCGTTGGAGGTGGAGCAGCTGGGACTTGAGCCAGCCGGTGCTGGCGTCACAGCTGGTGTCCTGGCCCACTGCTTCCTGAACCCTGGCCTTTGACTGACCTGCAGGGTTAGGCGGTGCTTGTGGCTTCTTGGGTCCCCTCTTCCAGCTGTGAAGAGCTGGAGTCCCGGGCTGCTGCTGCTGCTGTGTCCAGGGCCCTGCCTGAGTCACAGAGAGCACACGTGGGTCTGAGGTTTTGTGCAGGAACTGACATGAAGCGCACATGCCCTGGCACCAGCGGCCAAGCCCCGGCCCGGGGCTGTGCCCCCACCACCCCCAGAGGCTGAGGGCTGACTGTTCTTCCCTCTTGGCCACAGACCTTTACCACCCAGGAGACCATCACGAACGCAGAGACGGCCAAGGACTGGTTTCTCCTGTCCGCCAAGGATGTGAGTGGGGAGTGGGCCTCGCTTGTGGTGGGGTAGGGGATGGGCGGGAAGAGCAGGCCGAACCTGCCTGTGCACGTGGCCGGCCAAGCTTGGCCCTGTTTCTCCTCTAATGCTGGAAGCAGACGCTGGCCTGGCTGGTGCCTGCCTTTTCTGGTTAGGACAGCTGCTCAGCTCTGGCTTTGCCAGACGCGCCGAACATGGCAGAACCTGCCCTGACTGGCTGAGGGCCCTTTTTGTGGTCCTTCAGGCCTTGTGGGTTCCAGCCTGCTGCTGGCCACGTCCGTCTTACAGGGGCAAGGCCGTTCCTGGGCCTTGTATGACTCTGAAGTGGCTGGACAGGTCTACCTGTGGCCCCTCTGTGCCCTTGACCTTGACCTGAGGGGGCTCCTTTAACAGTTCCCAAGGGCCTGGGCCATCCTCTGCTGCTTTCCCAGGTGCACCAGCAGAGAGCTGGATGGGAAGCGGAGCAGCCAGGACTTGAACTGGTGCCCACATGGGATGGGAGCGCCCGGGCCGCGGCTTTACCAGCCACGCCTCAGCGCTGGCAGGACCTCGGTTTCTGCAGTGATGGGAGGATCACTGCCTGTGGGGTGGGTTTGGTGAAACTTGGTTCTGTCTCTTGTAGCCTTCTACAGTTGCGAAACACTTTGTCGCGCTGTCTACTAACACGGTGAGTATCTGGGCCCTGCCAAAGTCACGCCTTCTGCAAGACGTGGGCCAAGCGTGGGTCACCCATTTGGGCTTCTGTGCCTGGTCAGCCTCGCCTCTGCTGTGCCCTCCCCCACCAAAGCTCTGCAGCCCTGAGCAGGGCCTAGCAGGCAGTGGGGTCCTGCTCACCCCAGACACCACCAGACCTGGCTGATACCCGGACCACTCCACACACGTGACCGTTGCTCTGTGATGGAGCATGCTGTGTAGGGTGGGGATGCGTCCCATTTCTCCCAGTGAAAGATGTGAGTGCTTTGCTCCCCCTCCATGATTATGTGAGTTGGACATGCCAGGATTAGAACCCAGGCCACCTGCCCTTGGGTACTCACAGCCTGCGTGGCCCTGAGGTTGTCCGGGGATGGGAGGCTCAGCAGGGTGGTGTGAGGAGCTTCCTCATCACAGCTCAGGAGAACTCACCGAGCAGGGCTCTGCCGTGGGCACTGTCGAGCTCTGTGGAGCTGGGAGCCACAGCCAGGTCTTCCTGGCCACCGTCCCCTCCCCCACCCTCCACCCCAGCCTGCCCACCGGAGCCAGCGGAAGCTCCAAAGGCTAGCCAGCCCCAGCGCTGTCATCTGCCTCCCACAGGTGGAGCTCAGGCCTCTACAGGGCGGCTGCTCTGTGGGGACTTGGTGAGGGGTTGCCGCCCAGTCTGCCAAACAGACCAGAGGACCTGCTGCAGGGCAGGATTGTCCTCTCCTTACGGGCTCCCCCAGCGGGAGGGCTGGGCAGCGTGCAGGCCGTGTGCTGCCTGGCCGAGCAGGTGGTCCCAGGCCGTATTCACACTCCCGGGTGTCCTCGGGGTGGTTTTCTGGTCCTGCAGAGAGAGTGGGTGGGCCGGGGCCCCATCTGGGGCATGCAGCCTCGTCCACGGGAGGCCCCGCCGGCGCAAGGCCACTAGTGTGTGATAATCGACATGGGAGCCAGCCTGGGGCCCAGCTGCAGGTGGGCCGGTCCTGGGGCCCTGCCTGGACTCCTGAGGCAGCTGAGGGTTCCCGCGACTACCGGGCGTGCCTGCTCATGTTCCGCTGACAAACGCATCCTTTCATCCCTCTGCTTTGTGCTTGTAGGCCAAAGTGAAAGAGTTTGGAATTGACCCTCAAAACATGTTCGAGTTCTGGGACGTAAGTACAAGCGCCCCTGCGCTGGCTGACTTAGGTGTCTTCGCCAGGTCCTGAGCGTTGAGCCACAGACGCGGGGCCGTGAGGTCAGGCCAGCATGTATTGAGCGCCTGCTGCATGCCTAGCTTTGGGAAAAGCAGAAAGGCTCCTGGGCAGACTTAGACGGGAAGAGCCACTGAGTCAGGCGGAGGGCTCCACTTCCTCGCCGGGGCGGCCGAGTTGCCGCCACCCTGGGTGCCTGCCAGCAGCACCCACTGTGGGGTAACTGGAGCCGCGGGGCCACAGCCGCAAGTTATTCTCGGAGATGACCTTTCTCCGAGCTGCAGCACAATCTGTAAAGGCCAAGGGGCAGGGTGAGGCCGGAGGTGTGGCGGGCTGGCTCAGCCTGGAGCCAGGGCCAGAGGGGAGGTGCAGGCTAGGGACCTGGGCGGGGCAGGGACTGGGCAGCGTGCAGAGTAGACCTGGCCTGGAGAGGCGGAGCTGCGGGCTGCTGTAGCCACAGGCAGTCACGTGGCCTCCCCCAGCAGTGAGTGGGAGCGCTCCTCACGTGCTTGGGGGTGGGCGGCGGTGGAGAGGGGAGGGCTGTGAGGGTCTGGGTGCAGGGTGTGGTGCAGGCACTGTAGATGCAGCGGGTATAGCGGGGCATGGGCACAGTGCTCCATCTAACATGCGGCTGTGGCAGGCGCCCCACAGAGGGAGGGCAGCACCCATTGGGGGCCATCCCACTGGCCTTGGACTGGAGGCTCCACACTTGATGGTGGCATCCAGGGATGTAACCGCCTCTCTTTGAGAGCTGCAAAGGCCTTTTCCCATCAGAGTCTGGAAGAAAATGATGCCCTGATTCCCCAGGCCATCCATGCACCGTGTGTAATGAGCTAAACTTCTTTCCAGAGCGGGACTAGTTAGGCACCATCCTCGGAAGAGTGGAGAAGAGTCCCTCAAATCCTTGTCCGCGTCCTGTGGCTCCCAGGAGGAAGCCGGCTCGAGGGAGACTGGCGCCGCTTCTGACCTGGGTTGCGTGCCTGCCGACAGGGGAGGCACCTTCCACCTCCTGCCTGGGGTTTGGAGCCTGAGCAGGTGGCGGGCAGGGACACGTGGGGGCTCCTGCTAGCCCAGATGCCTGGCTGGGCAGGGCTCTCACTGCCAGAACCACCCAGCCCGCCGAGATGAGGGGGCCGAGACTTAGGGAGCAGGATAGGCCTCCCAGGTAAGGCCCAGGATGGCATTTGGCACAAGAATATGGGGCCAGTGCTGGCTTGTGAGGCCTCCTGGGCCGGGCTGGACATAACCCTGTGGCTGATGGTATCCCCAGGTGTTCTCTAATGCGCGTGAGGAGGGTGTATATTGATGGATGGAGACGGTGATGGCCGGGCACCCCAGGGACAGGGACAGGTGAGGTCTCTGGAGCTGTTCAGGCCTCTTGGGCAAGGTGGAGGCGTCAGGTGAGGTATGAGGAAGTGGCGCTGCCCTGAGGTGAGAAGGGAAGAGCCCAGTCTGGTGGAGGTGCACGTAGGTGGGAGCCGCGGTCTGCTGGGCAGGCAGAGGTAACTGTGGCGTCTCCTCAGTGCTCAGCAGCAGGTGGACACGTGGGAGAGCTGATTCTGGGTGGTAGGACTGGAGGGGAAGCAGGACAGGTACAGGTGAGCTCCGAGGAGGGGCCGGGCCAGGCAAGGTCCTGGTGAGGTCTCTGAGCTCTGGAGGGGGCACAGGTGTTTCATGCTGGTTCTGTCGAGCCGGAGTCACGCACCTGGCTGTGCGGGAGGAGCTCTGGACCTGCGGCCTGGGACAGCTGAGTGCGCCGGGGTCTGTATGATGGCTCTGAAGAGCGAGGATCAGGCAGTGCACAGAGATAGCGCGGTCAGGACCCAGGGTCAGCAGTCGCAGGTCAGCCGCCTGGCCGTCAGCATCATCCTGACCAGGCGAGGGTCCATACAGGGCCAGGGCGTGGTCTGTGGTCTCGGGGTCCAGCCGGGGTAGGGTCTGAGGGGCTCGGGTGAAGGAGAGATAGGAAGGCATCTGGTTACAGAAGGTGAGGACGGAGCTGAGGCAGGTAGAGCATGCTCAGGTGAGGGCTCTGGGTAAGGGGAGGTGGGGAGGCCTGGGTCTGCAGGGTGAGCGGTCCGAGGCCCACGTCCGTCACACGCTGTTCGGCCGCCCGCGAGGCTAAGGTGAGCAGCCAGGGGTCCGGCAGCTGGGAGGAGGCCGCCTGCTCAGGATGGCGGTGTGGTGGGTGCCGGCAGGTGTGGTCTGCAGAGCCGGGGCTGGCTGCAGTCTCGGGAGCTGGGACCTGACGGAGGTGCGTGCTTCAGGGAGGAGTGCACGTTAGGCACGTGGAGGTAGAACTGGATCCGTCGGGTAAGGGCCCTGGAGCTACAGAGGGGCAGGGCCCCATCGAGCCGCTGTGAGCACGTGTGAGGATATCTGCATAGCTCTGCTGGTGCACGGCTGGACCTGGAGGGCCTGGGGTCTCCTGGGAAAACACTGACGAGCTGGAGTCTGGCAAAGGCAGGGAGACCAGCACTGCTGCGGAAGGCTTGTGAGGGCGTGGGGATGTGCAGCGGTCTGGCCAGGGAGGCTGGAGGGATTAAGGTGAGGCACAGGTTTGGACTCTGGGGTCTCGCAGATAAGGGCAGGCCCTGGTTTGTACAGAGTCTGAGGAGCTGGGTCAGGCCTAGCAAGTGCGTAGCACCTGTGAAGCTGAGGGCAAGCCCAAGTTTCTGATTCATGAAACTGTTCGGCAGTGGCGGTCAGGTACAGGTAGGTAGAATAGATCTACCAGGTGAGGCCTGGGGAGCAGAGCTCATCTAGAAAGAATGGATCACTTCCCTGGTGTCCAGGGAGGTGAAGTGGACAGGTGAGTGGAGCCCAGTCTCAGGTGAGCAGCTCTGGGCCTCCCGGAGGGTCCAGGTAGGTGGGTAGAACTTCCTGTCTTGCTGAGGTTGAGGCATTGTGGCCAGCACAGCTGTGTGGAATTGAGTTTCTTCAGGATCCAGGAGTCTCCGTCCGGCCTGGGATTGTGTCTTTGGGCCTCTGGGAGCCGAACAATGCGAGTTCTACACAGGTGGGCAGGGCCGGCTTTGTCAGGTCACGTGTGTGGAGCCAGGATGAGGACTGCCTCACAAAACAAGCCATGTCCAGTGAGGTCTAAAAGGTCCTGGACAGGCCCAGGTAGGGAAAACTGAGCGTGTTGGATGCAGTGTGGGCACCCGAGGTGTGAGTCACAGGTAGGCAGAGCTGGCCCACTTGGGTATAGGCTCAGCAGCCAGCCTCAAGGGCAGGTGGGCAGAGCTGGCCTACAGGTTAAGGTGTGATACCCCAGATCAGCTGGAGGTAGGCTTCAGGTAGGTTGAACTGGCCTGCCACGTGTGTGGTGAGAACCCAGGGTCAGGCTCAGGTCAGTAAAACTGGCCTAACAGGTATGGTTTGAAGAGACAGGGTCATATACAGGTAAGTAGAGCTGACCTGCCAGGCACAGTCTGGCACAGGTAGATAGAACTGGCTCTCCAGGTGTGGCCTGAGGACCCAGGGTCAAGCACAGGTAGGTAGAGGAAGCCCTCCAGGTGTGGTCAGAGACAGGTAGGCACAACTGATTGAACACAGGTAGGCAGGGTTGACTCTTCCAGGAGCTGGGATTCATGCACATATATATACCCCTGGGTTTTTGTGGTGAAACCTGAAGAACCAGGGTTAAACCCAAATGGGTAGAATGGCCTCTGAATGCTGGCAGCGTGCTCTGGGTCCTCGGAGGCCTGCAGGCCCTAAGTTAGACACGAGCAGGTTGATGGGACTCTTTCAAGCAGGGACTTTGTAACCAAAGGTATGTTCACCTGGGGTCTTGTAGGTGAAATGTTAGAGGCATGGTTCTGGCTCAGGTATGTTGACCCAAGTCTTAGAAGTCTGGCTTGGGGTGCATGGCTTAGTCACACGGTAGGACCATGGCTCTCAGGTGGTTCTGTGGATCACAGGTAATCAGAGATGGTCTCCTCTGAAGAGGTTTGAGGTTGGTGAGGGGGTTTGTGCTGTTGGATCTGATCCAAGTAAATAGAACTGGGTCTCTAGGAAGATGCCAGGACTCTGGGATGGGCCAGGGCAGGTGGACCATATCTGTCAGGTGAGGTGTAAGGGGCTGGGTTAGGCACAGACAGGGGTCTGAAGCCTGGTCCACCAGCTGAGATGTCTGGAACCTGGCCCTGAAGATGTTAGATACAGGCCAGCTTAGATACAGGTATGTGGCTCTGGGCTTCTCCTGTCCACAGAGGCCACATTTAGATACAGGTTTGGGGCTCTGGGCGTCTCCTGTCCACAGAGGTCACGTTAGATACAGGTATGTGGCTCTGGATCAACCGTCCATAGAGGCCATGTTAGATACAGGTATGGGGCTCTGGGCGTCTCCAGTCCAAGGAGGCCAGGTTAGATACAGGTATGCTGTTCTGGGCGTCTCTTGTCCACGGAGGCCACGTTAGATACAGGTATGGGGTTCTGGGCATCTCCTGTCCACGGAGGCCTCGTTAGATACAGGTATGGGATTCTGGGTGTCTCCTGTCCACAGAGGTCACATTAGATACAGGTATGGGGCTCTGGGTGTCTCCTGTCCATGGAGGTCACATTAGATACAGGTATGGGGTTCTGGGTCTCCTATCCATGGAGGCCACGTTAGATACAGGTATGGGGCTCTGGGTCTCCTATCCATGGAGGCCACATTAGATACAGGTATGAGGCTCTGGGCATCTCTTGTCCATGGAGGTCACGTTAGATACAGGTATGGGGCTCTGGGTCTCCTATCCATGGAGGCCACGTTAGATACAGGTATGGGGCTCTGGGCATCTCTTGTCCATGGAGGTCACGTTAGATACAGGTATGGGGCTCTGTGTCTCCTATCCATGGAGGCCACGTTAGATACAGGTATGGGGCTCTGGGCGTCTCCTGTCCACGGAGGCCACGTTAGATACAGGTATGGGGCTCTGGATCTCCTCTCCACGGAGGCCACGTTAGATACAGGTATG